TCTCTCTCTCTCTCTCTCTCTCTCTTCCCCTTCCTTCTCCCGCCCTCCTCGTTACGCGATCTGTTTTCGGATCGATGCGAGAAATTATTCCACGGTTGTGCCGTTCGTTTCGAGAATGGCGCGATACAGATCTGCGTTTTAATATTCATTCACGGTTATACAACGTTATCGCAAACGATCCGTTACATGAATCGGTATGTCATACGCAAGCACATGTAACGCGCACTGGCGAAAGTATGAATCTAAATCCTTGAAAACGTATCAAAGTTGACAAGGAAACAAAGAAAACGAGAGAAAGAACCGCTTCCTCCGCGTTGGCTCGACGAGCGCTGCTTGACGCATTTCGACGGCGAATCTCTTTTTCTGTTGCCGCCCGCGACATTAACCCTTTTAGTGCCGATCGAAAAAAATGTACCTGAGCGTGTGGAACACCTAAATACATGGCATTTTTTAAGAGAAATTCAACCATTTATAACGTCTTATAAAATTATACTGCAATTCTAAGCAGAATCGTAAGTAACTTGTTCTCGGAAAATTCGTCAGAACTTATAAGTAGATTTACAAGTTTATGCAATATCATATGTCGTACAATCACTTATAAATACCGTAAATTACATGAAATCGTAGGTATTTACGAGTAATTGTACGATATATGATATTGCATAGACTTGTAAATCTACTCATAAGTTCTGACGAGAGCAACTTACGATTCTGCTTAGAATTGCAGCATTAGTTTTGAGGCAGAGTTCTCCCGCGACGCGGATAGTCCAGTAGCATCGTATGCGCAACGATATATCGTCGTTGGCACTTTTCGCAAGTGTTGTTAACAACGATATATCGTTGTTCAGCACTATGAGAGTTAATCGCATCAATTGCGTTAACTACCATACGATTATCAGCGCGAGGTTTCGTCGGGGTAATCTTCTCCAAATTTTGGCAAGTCGCTTTCACGATCGCCGAGCAATCACTAACATCGCTGTAATCGATCGCCAGGATCGTCAGGAATTGAATGTAACGTTACATTTCTCTTTATATTTCTTTTTTCCTTCCTTCTATCTCTCTTTCTCTCTCCTCGCCGTTTTTCCTTCGTGCATATGTGCATGTATAATATGGCTAATAGAACGGGGCGCGCGGGCACGATTGTTCCGTTACAGTACTGTTATCGGCTGTTCTCCAGGAAATTTTTCTCTAAAACTCGAACGTTCGAATTATTACGTAAAATAATGGTAGCTAAAATGCAGCGCAGCGTTCCGTAGGATAGGCAGCCTAATATTCATAGAGAGTCTAAGCGGCTGGATGAATGGCTGTTCTATATTGCGATGTACCGTTCATGAGTTTCTCGACGGATCGGTCTTGCTTTATCGCGAATTCCGTTTTTGTAAAATAACATTTTTCGGTCGAACGCGAAGCTATTGTCCATTCGAAAACGAACAGATGAAATACGCTTTCATCCCAAGTAGTAAAAGTATAAGAATTTCTCCAGATAACATATTCTGAACAAGTATTTTTATTTCGAAATAATACAATTTCATTGAAAAATATTTGTTTTTTTAAATGTACGCATAAAATATACAATCTGGAAGACATAACGTTGTGGAAGTTGAATGAGAGGCTTGAAAAGGTAGCGATTCGCTTTAACAATGGTAGTGATCTTCTTTATCTTTAAGTAATAACTCTCTTACTAACCGACGAGATTTAATACTAAAGATCCCGATTGGTCTTACGGGATTTTATGTATTACAGAATTTCTCTATTTACCTTCTGTCGGTAAATTTGTTGATAATAATATTTAAAATCAGAGTAAATGATAACAACAAAAATATACACACTTTCATAAAAATATTAAATACATTTTATTATACTCCTGTATATATAACAATAAGACATTAAAAAAATATTTGTACGTTATAAAATATTTAATAATTCATTAACTTGTATAATATTAAATGTAATATTAAATTATAATAAATTTAATATTTCATTGTGCACACTGAATGTCCAGTTATTTTTATCAGATAATTAAAAATTTGCCGATAATGTAATCCTTCTGAAGAAGATAACTGAATTGAAGAATCAGTTATCTTCGGGTCTCTTGAGACTCTTACGCCAGCACGAAAATTTATGGAGACCTGACGGTCTTTAAAGCTATAGCCGAAAAAACTGATTATACCGATATTACGCAAAATTTTAACAAAAATCACTGAATTTTGGTATCGCTTAAACCATTTTTGACTAATTTAGTAATGACTTGAACCATTTCGGTTCAAATCTCGACTTAATAATTTAGCGAAGACTCAAACTATTTCGGTTCGAATCTCAGCTTAATAATTTAGAATGGTTCGTATCTATCATGCGAACGACATGATTTATTAATGATCATCATCAATGTATATTTCATGAAATTTAAACTAGCATTTTTTAATCAAAAGTTTCTTCTGTTATTGTGAAAACATACTAACAATAAATTATAATAATATAATACTTTATTGGAGGCTTTGCTAGAAGTGATAAATCACGCTTGAGAAGTGCAACTAATTAAAGTTGACCAAATGATGTGGCAACAATTTGGTAATTAAAATTATTGCCATATTCAAAATTAAATATTAAAAATAATATGTAAAACTAGTACAATGCGCAACGTTCGATTATACATATATTTACACGCGCGCGCTCTCGTACACACATACACATATACATATGAAAAGCAACACGCATTTACGCATATATTTAACTCTATATAATTCAACACAGCCGAGCAAAGAGCATTAAAAGAGAAGGTATTCAAATGTGAAACGAAATGTAGAACGTTCATTCTTAAATTAACTATAATTCAATTAGTTTAAAATTTGCACTTTCAAAATAATCAGAGAAATTAACCTCCCAAAGGTCTAAGGACTCATTCCATTATTGTCAGCTGATATTTGTTAATCGTTACTGGAATAATCTGTATTTGTGTCCGCGAAAAAAATAACACGTTCGCATTATCAGCATCACATGTGTGTCAGCGCGAAAATTTGTTAATGTTCATATTGACTAAGTCTGCTTTATGTGCGATTACTTAAAGACATAAATACGAGGTAGTTGCATACGATAAGCTATCGTTTTTTTACTTTCAGTCATTGCTTGTTACACATATAGGTTTTTTCACTGTATAACACAATTGCTATATCGCAATTGACTACATCTTCAGGCAGCGCAGAGTTTTTGATGTTATTCGCGCGCTAAACTGTAATGAGTTCCCGCGAGATTGCTCGTTGCCGTCCGCGTGATTCTCCGCGTGAACCGCCGCTTCCGTGTCCTCGAGATCGATGATGAAGTCGCGGTTTCCCATCAGCGTCGCCAGGCACATGTTCTTCTCCTTTATCCTGGAGCGCACCAGCAGCTCCAACGTAAAGAGATGCTCGTCGTGTGCCTCAGGCAAGTAACGGTGCACGAACTCCGCCAATCTGTCACAAGTCACATGCAAAACGTGTCGTTTTATTACATGATCAACGCAATCGATAACATTAGCGTATCGAATGAGGTATTTAATATTAACGCGACCGCAGCAGCTTTCCGAACTTTCCGCAACAACTGTATCGGCGTATGGTTGAAATTACGTATCCCATCGCATGTGAAAATACACGGAGAAAAATAATTTTGCTCTTTTAGCAAAATCGTCACTGCATGTTCATAGTGACACCAAAAAAATTTAGTTGACGTAACTAATTTTACAAATTATTCGTTATCAGAGCAAAAGTAGTTTTGTTGCCAGGATAGAAAAAATTTGTCGAATGTATTTGTCCTAAGAATCATGTTAATTTGCTATTGATGCAAAATAATGTATCCTTTGCAAATTTATTTGCAACATCGGATCAAAACTGCAACTGTTTATATAAATCCATCATGGTTCTTATGGCAAAATAATTTGCAGATTCAGCAAATTATATCCAACAAATAGTGATTAGTACTCTTAGTAAATCTTTTTGCTGTCCATATAATAACGAAAAGATTTTGGACCAACAGTAAATTTGCCAGCAAATTATTTTTCTCCGTGTATCCATTTAAAGACGATCTTTTCATTCATCAATAAATTTACTTTGACAATATAATGATTACTTCAAAATAGAAATGCTTAAGTAGCGTAATAAATAGAAAAGAAGTGTAATGGATAGCAAAAGTGTAACGAAGTATAATAAAAAGTAGATATTATATCATAAGATACCCTTATAGAAATTTAATACTGATAAGTGATAATTTGGCCAGTGATAATTACTGTCGTTCAATAATTTTATTACTCGTACGAATAATAAAATTACTATTTATTACTGCCAATTTATCACAGTCAGTGATACTTTTCTATAAGGGTATAATATATCATAAGTAGATATTATATCATAAGATATATGATATTATATCATAAGATATTATAGATATATTAGGACCTTAACTTAGTTTCCGCCCAAAAAATACTGAGAAAAAGCATTTATTGTAAAAAATTTATTTAAATTATTTCAATGAAAGTATTTTCCATCACTTTCTACAACTTTTTGCCATCTTTCTGGCAACTGGGCGATACCATCTCGATAAAACGATGTTTGTTTCGAAGCAATCCATTCGTCCACCCATTCTCGCACTTCTTCAACATTTCGGAAGCGTGTACCACTCAAGCCGTGCTG